GCAGGAATTGCCCCAAAATGTAGTGTCATTTACATTGCTAAATTGCTCTTATCATTTAATATGTTTGAAGAGAACAAAGGAACAGAGAAGCCTGGCTTTGTGTTTTAAGTTGATTCCTATACGCTATGTTCTGAACTGGAGTAAATAGTTGTAGCATATTCATATCATGGGAACAAATTTAATGTCAAAGCATGAAGCCAGAACCTTAACTGACATAGACGTATCAATCAAAGTGAATCAGAATGTCTGTGCTTGCTTTCTGTTTTGTTTATTTTGTTTTTTAATATAATTATTTGGATTTAAGTCTTTGTGTGATCAACTTAAAAAAATGTCCTGCAGACACAGTTGCTGGGGGAAAACCATTGTTCCTCAGCAGTAAGCCATGTTCCACCTTTATTGGAACACTAAAGATTGACATAAGCAATATCTATTTTGTTTCTCATCATCATGGTGCATCCCAAGTTTCTCCCTAAGGGCTCTTGCATACATCCTGTAGTATTTCACGCTGCATGTAGACCCAGTGAAATCAGCAGAACAACTATTCAATATGAGTAATAGTGACAATACATGACCCTAAGTGAACGTGCCTCCTGACTCTTCAGTTAAACATATAGAAACACATTTCCTTCTGCACATACATGGGCAACAGTGACCATGAAACCATCATGTTCACTGTCCGATGTAAGGCAGATAAAACTGATAGCAGGGTTGAAGTCTTGGACTTCAAAAATGCAAATTTCAACAAGCTTAGGTCACTAGTAGGGCAAGGGTTGTGGGACCAGGGACCAAAGGTGAAAGGTGTGCACGAAGAGTGGTTGTTCCTTAAGGACACGATCCTTGAAGCCCAAAGGAAGTCCATTCCCATGCAGAGAAAAGGTAACAGAAGGGCTGGGAAGTCCTCTTGGCTAAACAGGGAAATCATGGTCCTCTTAAGAAAGAAGAAAGAGGCTTATAAACAATGGAAGCTCGGGGTGGGCTCCAAGGAGAACTATTCCACAACAGCCTGTTTTTGCAGGGAAGAGATAAGAAAGACTAAAGCAGCAACCAAACTTAGATTAGCAACAGGGGTCAAGGACAACAAGAAGTCCTTCTTTAGGTACATAGGTAACAGAAGGAAAACAAATGGGACTGTGGGGCCATTGCTCAACAACTCAGGAGAATTGGTTACTGGCACCTGGGAGAAAGCTGAACTCCTGAACTTTGCCTCAGTCTTTCACCGGACCAAGGGGAAAACGACACCGGGTAGAGTACAGGATAAGCACGGTAGGAATAATTGCCTGTCTAATACTGCCATAGAATTGATGTATGACCATTTAAAAAAATTAGACACATACAAGTCAGCGGGACTGGATGATCTTCATCCGAGAGTGCTGAAGGAGCTGGCTGAAGTCATTGCAGAATCCCTGGCAAAACTCTTCCACAAATTATAGCGCTCTGGAGAAGTCCCTGAGGACTGGAGGAGGGCCAATGTTGTGCTCATCCACAAGAAGGGCAGGAGGGAGGAACCGGGTAACTATAGGCCAATCAGCCTAACTTCCATCCTAGGGAGAATCCTAGAAAAGTTCACCAAAGAGTCTATCTGTGATAAGCTTACAGAAGGTAAGATTCTGAATGACAGCCAGCATGGCTTCATAGAGGCAGGTCTTGCCTTACCAACCTCATCTCCTTCTATGACAAGGTAACTCACCATCTGGACATGAGAAAGCAGGTTGATGTTGTATACCTTGACTTCCAAAAGGCCTTTGATCTAGTATCCCATGATGTCCTCATGAGAAGATTGGAGGACTGTCACCTTAACTCCAAGACAGTCAGGTGGCTGAGAAACTGGCTGTAGGACAGGACCCAGAGAGTCTTAGTGAATGGATCTGTGTCATCCTGGCAAGAAGTGGGCAGCGGTGTCCCGCAGGGGTCAGTGCTTGATTCAGTACTTTTCAACATATTTATTAACAATTTGGATGTGAGGTTGAAGAGCTCACTGGCCAAGTTTGTGGACAACACCAAGTTATGGGGAAGCATGGTCATGCTTGAAAATAGGCTACAGATACAGGCAGACCTAGACAGGCTAGCAAGCTGGGCAGATTGGAATCTGATGAAGTTCAACATGGAGAAATGTAAAGTGCTTCACCTTGGGATGAACCTATGTCAGCCCTGGACAGTATAGCAGGAGGTTTATTACATACTAGCCAATTGCCTGTCAAGAATGATGTGGGAGAGGGGAGTGGGACAGAGGCCTGTGTCTGGCTCCCAATCCCCCTTCCCCCCCCGTGCTTTGGGTCTGGTCATGCTCCCCCG